CATATTATTGCTATTTTTCGCAAAATATGCAGTGAATATTCCTATTCTGTTTACAGATCACAGGAGAATTATCTGACCCACCTTTGGTTTTGTTAGCTGTAGTTTTGCACATTTTAATCGTGATTATAAAATTGCAATTGTTATAAGAATATACTGTTATTAAAATTTTAATAAATCTGCTTTACAACGTTGCACCTCTAGTGGTTATTGAACTGTAATATGACTGATCCTGGAATACATTAATGAGGTGTCTTATAATATCCTGGAATCGGATTGAGCAATCACTTTTCAAGTCATGTAAGTTACAATCGTTAACCGTTACTCTTTTACACATAGCGATATGTCCTCTTATACGTCGTGCAACATGTCGTTTCTATAAAAGTTGTGGATTCCTAGTTTTTTCATTAACATTTGGTAACGCTATTTTGTCCAACGAATATTACAGGAATGCACAAAATTTTTAGCTCCGTTCAAAGTAATTCGCACCTCAAATATTCTGCAAGATTAATGTGGACTATCATGCTTTGTCTCCTTCTTCATTTCGGTAGAATTCTGTGGGATCCAACAATACAAAATATTTTAATAATGCCCATGTTTTGTTTGAAGTGACACTGCAATTGCACAGCGTCTTTAGATTAATAAAGCATTGGTTTCCGAGTAAACGTATACATTGCTGACCAGTGAGTTTCCGGTTTCACGTATATAAAAGCTGTGTAGTATTCTGGATAGCCTAGCTTTATACGATGATTACTGCTAGACGGAACCAGAACAAAATATTGCACCATAATGGAAACCATGTGAACAAAAAGCGAACAAATCACAAAAAAATCGCGAAGAACAATGTTACTGATAAAATCATTGAGTGAATGACAAGCTGGGCCTACCAAAATATCCGTAAATGGATATAGCTGGAGTGACAAGCAGGATGTAGCTCACACAAATCATAAAAACACTTTCTAGGAATCAACCGCAACCCAAGTGCTTTGGGTTGCTACACGTAGGAACGTTCACGTGATATCTGCGTTTCACGCATCTTATAGGACAACACCCAATTCAGTGTCAAAAAGCAAGAAAAAGTCTCACCTTCCGCGAAACATCCCACAACTTGTAAGCAATAATTTGAAAAGTTAATTGCGTACATAATTTAATATTTCTTTGTTGTATAATCCGAATTCAAATTCTCATTGATACTGGAAGCTGCTGTATTCAGTTCACGGGTGTTCAGATAGATTATTGCACAGATGGTAGAGCCAAAAGTTATACTACGTCAAGATTATTAATCACACGTACCCACTGTTTTATTGCCCGGCAATTATTTTGCAGCAGGTATTCACACAGGAAGATACGGAAAATGGCTGTTAATAACCTCCTAGTAAGCTCGTTAATGAACACAAACGGCTTCCCGCACTCATGATATTCTGTTGCGACAGCGCGCGTTCAACAGTCCTCTCAGAAAATAGCAGCTTCTTATTAAATGTTGATATGGGAATCGCTGTTTTCATCGTCTGTTTTACTGATTTTTAGAGGACACGGGAGGTCTATGCGCATATCAGAATTATCATCGATGATATGCTAATCTATCGTTCCAGTGTTTGGAATAAAAGGTTGATTATAAACGAGCAACTGATTTACTACCTCAAGTATGTTATATATATGTTCAAAGAAAGAATACAACGACCTGGATAGAAATGCTTAGTGAGACACTTCGGATAAACGGCACAGTCTTCGTTCGAGCATTTCTGCAGTCAGTTTCTGCGTTCCAACTCAAAGAATCCCAAGGCTTTACAGAAAAATCAACTATGCCGTGAACCACATAGGCAATTGTCTTCTCTATGCAGCATACAGTGATCACACACTCAACATTGTCTGAATACAGTTCGTTTAGAATTTGATTTTTAAATTTCGTTGCATTCAACAGAAGGGTGTGGTCAAACATAACGTAAACTAAAGTGATTTAAACACAAAGTGTTTACGAGTTATGCTTTAAGGCCACAGTATTATTCATAACAAAAAATTGCTCACCGTCTCTCAAACAGAATTTAGCTTTGAGCATGCGTTTAAAAATGTATCCGTATGTTATGAGAAGTAATATTTAAAAACTGTCTAATTAATATTGGCTAAAGTGAACTGATTTCCAGCAATATTTTTGTTTCCCACGTTAAATTATTCCCAATTTTTCAGCGACATGTTCGCAAAGCAACACAATATCTGGCAAAGGTCAATATGCTAAATTCCCTTTAGCTTTTTTATGCTACTAGTGTTTGCTAACCAGAAAGCAAGGAACGAGGCGCTATTTTGGGCACTTATCTCATAAACGAACTGATTTATGCTTCATTGCGCAAGCATTCGGATTACTATTCAAAACCGCTATATTGGGCACTTATCTCATAAACGAACTGATTTATGCTTCATTGCGCAAGCATTCGGATAACAACCTAGTCAAAACGTTTACGCCAGGTATTTTTAAAGAAGAGCATTCGTTTAACCGTGTTGCGTGAGATTGCTCCAATTTTACATTCTGCTTGACAAAACCCTAACATCTTCGAAATTTCACACCAAATATCCGTTACCATATGGTCCATAATTAACACATTGTTTATCTCATCCTCATTTGGTGAATAATTTGAACTCACGGCCTTTCGGTATTTTCAGAAAAGGTTTGTGAAAGAATCTCCCAAAGTATTATTTTGTCACAGAAAAGGTAATCGCTTACTGGAGTAATTCCAATATTGATTTATTTTCGCTAAGTCAGATTTGTTTTATTAATTTTTAAAAAATATAACAATAATGCGAAACCAGTTGCCGAAAAAACTTCACGGCATATATTATCATAATGCTAAACATTAGCTCATTGGATATCCACGTATTCAGAAATCCATGTACGGTGTCAATCCTAGAATCATTTAACCTATCCAAAACCATCTTTGTATAATGCACAATTTAGCATTTTCCAAAGCGGTTGACAATGAGAAAGGACATTCGAGACTAAATTTGAATTTTCTCAGGTACGAGAAACATGTCAAGTTCAAACAAAAACAAACCGATGCAGACGGCAAGCATGAGCGCTGCATGCCCTACCAGGAAACACAACGAGCACTATGGATAAAATGCTGTATTTTGGTGACACTACCAAATTACAAAAAATGTTTAGGGGTTTTGTGACCCGCAATCAGTCAGTAGTCTACCAGCGTAGGTAAATTTAGACATCGTAGTAATGCCAAATAAACGTTATAAGCAGCAGCACATTCCCCTTGGGCTTCGTTAGTGTTAACACACAGCACGTAACGCAAGTGTACTGCTAGTCATCTATTCCAAAAGCCCAACATGTTTACTCCAACTAATATGCCTAAATTTGGGAGAAGGTTTTAGCATTTTAGCGCAAAAACGTTCCGAAGGTAGCTGGGGTAATAAGATATGATAAGACCATAAGGTAATGAGATAGTGTTAAAATCTGAAGTTAGGGGGAAGAAAGTATGAAAGAAGGCAGTCCAGTAAGCGAAAGGAATATTTACGCCTAGGTCGACAAAATAGCTGTTGGAGGGCATAGCAATCATTACCGTGATATAATTCGGTGTATTAATGACATGTCTGTTGAATCACAAAGCCAAGAATGTAACCTGTTGCGTAAATAAATGAGCACATGCGCAAAATACCGCCTAAACAGATCTAAGCAACTGTTCACGATCTGATGTGGATTCTAATACACATCTATACTCCGCTACAATAAAGTGGCATGGAAGATGACAAACTTCAAGCGACTGAAGCAAAGACTACTTTTCCACATTGCCAGCTACCACATATTACTATCACAATAGCGCGGAAAAGCAAATGAAAAATTAGCCTTTTGGTAACATGTGAACTGTTGGCAGAACTGCTGGGAGAAAATATTACACTGTGCGAGTAATTTCTAAGATTTGCAATAATCTCCAGAATGTGTGCACGCACGACGAGGTTTAATAAACATTTTTCAACAACATGAAGAAAGCGACAAAATATATTTATTAGGCGAACTTTCAATGCCTGAAGGGCCTCAGATGTAGATATTACGGTCGGCCAATTGGTTGAGTACGTTGGAGCGCTAACGTTGATTTTTTTTAGAATTATACCAAACGCAGAGTTCCGTTGTGCATATATCATCTTCATTGACTATCCTGACGGTTAATGGTAACCAGTACGTCTAACGTGACCAGAACTCACCAGCTTTGGAAGTTTTTTTTTTGGAAATTCGCATCGTGCCAGGCATGCATGTAAGGGTATATTTTTAACTAGTGCAAAATTCATTAAAATGGAGATTAGGAAGCCGAAATTCTTACCGCCACTTCTACAACCCTCCCCTGTGTTGACGAAAGAACAAGGATGGTGTGAATCTTCCAGATAGATGCCTGCAAATAATGCACGGTTTTTATCCATAATGGTCCTCATTACGCCGAAGTTTTCAATGTTTATACATGATTATTTACGGATTGTGATTTTTATGTCGCAGTTGTCGGTCAGAACACTTGGAAACTCACCATCTTTTGTGAACGCCAAATCAGCGTAAGTTGAAGGAAAACGGCAAGATATTTGTTGATCTTAAAGGGTTTCCAAATTGTTGCTGACATTTTTCCGATTTGGTTCATTTTCAGGACGCATCAGGCAGATAAATAGAAACCATAAGACTAAAACAATTTAATTGATTTTGAAAGCAGAGCCGTAGTAAACCAAACACATAAGCATTGTCTGAGCAGCCGTGGATAAATGTACTTATCGACTTTTGTTCGGGCGTTTATTCAGATCTTGACAGATCTTGATCACCAACTCTGGGAACTTGCACAAATATTTGTTGCATATTGTACAGTTTGTTTATCAGTCTTTTATCACACATTCAACTTCAGTCAACAAGAAACTACACTCTGATTGTGTACATATTACTTGGTTGCATGCAGTGCATAAACCTTAAGTAACCTGTTAGGTGACTCGCAGAGACATGGCAACACATATTGATTCTAACTTACTATTTTGTATGCACATTTGGACTTTTGTTAACGAAATCAAACCGTTTTGAAAGGCACGTTCAGGAACCTATTTTATACTAAATTGCTCGACACGCACTAAGCACAATCTTCTGTTAATCTTTTGTAGAATCCAATCATAGGAAAGTTGTTTGAACTCTCATTCTATAACGATTGAAAATGATCAAATTTGTTGTATACTGTTGACCGCTGAACGAATCAGAGGATATTTGTTGTAACACTAAATTGATTCTTAGTTCATAACGTTTTGCATTCGGTCACAAGATTTGCCCAATCGCGATTTATATCCGCGCAATAAAAATAAGTCAACCTTTACTAGCTTGTAGGTTACTAGACGCTGAACATGTTGATTTAGGCGAGCGTGAAGTCAACAATAACCAGAATATACTGCTTGTTCGACTGTGTTTTTAAACTATTTCCATGCGTAGTTTTGTTATTTGCTTTTTCACCAATAATAAAAAAACTGGAATGTAAAAGTGTTTGTTAAGTTGCATAATGCGGGCGCGTGCACATCATATTTATAACTATTCTATTTATTACTACTATGATGCATCCAATATGGACGTGAGACGTATTAGCTGAGCTAGTGAAATCATGGCTTTGTCTGCCTACAGATTCCCTGGTGAACTTCTTGTGGTATCTACGGGCTGTTTTCCTACAATTTACTGGCACTTTATCGCAAGTCTTACCCTCCACCGAACGCGGAATCTCTTCGGAATCTGCAGTGAAAACAATGGTACTCTCAGGAGAATAAAATTCCAAATGTGTGAAACAATAGAAATTGTAACACTTTCCTATGAGGTATACATATTGTTGGCTATCTTCTTTTACTGTAGGTGTTGGATTGCCGTAATAATTAAACAGAGGGACATAGGCAAAGAACACTACAGCGCCGATGCATGAATGTCAACAAGTTGAAATCTGTCATAGACAGAATAGCCTAAATATTCTGATTGCGTAAAACATAAATCTGTGTTTCCAGTAAAAAAAAACAAATTCAACGACCTGAAAATTTGATTGGGACATCACAATGTCTGATGTTACGCGAAAAAGTGGGTGTTTTGTCCAAGCGTTGTCTCATATGTATTCACAGCAAAACACTACTTACGGTTTCTTATGCATGTTATTGCTTGTTTATTGTGAGCAAAAGGGCTGCATTATGCCCGCAAACGCCTCTTTCATTTTTTAGCTTTTTTAACAATATTTGTTTACCTTTTGTCAAAAATGACTTTTTACGCACGTCGAAGCAAATTATCACACGCAAAAGTACACATAAGGGCTGTCTAGTGTCTTGCCGAAAAGATGCAGGAAATATGAGCTTTAAAAAATGCGAACTGCATTCTCCCATCACAATTATCATTAGAGTCGCAAGCTGCTGCTCGAAGGAACAAATCAATGAACATTTACTTTATCGCTAATAAACATAGCCGGGTGCAGTAAGAACAAGATTTATGTAATCGCAAACATTTCAAGTTATATGTTATGTTACAAAAATGCAAAGGATTGCTTCTAGATAAATCGGGGTTCCGGTTGGGGTATTCAGGGGATAATGTTATAATGTTTCGTTGTCGCGTTTCAATTCCCCGTACCGGCCATGAAGCATGTGCGTTGATCTGGAAACAATACTG